GGGGAGACCTGCCCCTTCCCACACCTGTGCAAGGAGGTGGCACAACCAGAGGGAAAGCCGGGAATTCTGGAACACGCTGCGCATTTAGGGACCCAGCCTCTGGCCCTGGCTGATGTGCTATATAAATATATAAATATATATATATATGCAAGGGATGAGTATTTATCTGTGGGTGGCAAGTGACAGATGCCAGGGCGAGGATTCTAGGACACTTCAGTTTGATGAAGGTAATGACTTGATTAATGAGGAACATCCTTCCCAACAGTTGCCTCCCCTGTGCCACATCTCCACAGCCACCCTCCCAGCAGAGCTCCTGCACACACCAGCTTCTCACATCCAAAAGCACAAATTTCACCAAGGTTCGGTGCCCAAAAGGCTGGAGGTGCCCAAACTTTGGTGTTTTCCACCTAGAATGGAGACAGGCAAGTGGAGAAGAGCTGTGGCCTCTGGGTACTGGCAACTGAGTTGGTCAAAGTACAGTTTCAGCTGGGTTAGCTCAGTAGTGAGTGCCTGGGGGGAAAGCTGGTGTGGAGCAGCCCGGATGGGGTGTGTGTGGCCTGTCCCTGCTCCTGGCCTTGACCACAGGTGCCATCACTCTGCATTCCCCAGCACAGCCATCCCTTCCTCCTAGGATGGTTTGCAGAGTCCCTGGGGCTGGGGGGAGGGAACACTGTGCTACAGACCCTGCCCTTGATCCTCTCACCTCCCCCTAAGGTGACACACCTGCCATACAGCTTTTGGGCTCCTGAACATCAAGAAGGTGGGGTGGCCTGCCAAGATGGAAGATAAAAAAGCTCTTTGCTTCTGGTAGGTTCTCAGAAATGGTGAAACTGCTGGTAAGCCACTCCAGTTTGGAGATGCTCCCTGGATTTCCCAAGGAGCTGCTGTGCTGCAGGCAATGGGGAAGGGTGGGGACATGTGTGTGCCCAGGGACGGGGCCAGCCCTGCAACGCCCAGCCCTCGGAGACCTGTAGTTTGTCAAGACTTCTGCCTGCCTTCCTGCAGCCCCCACCCTCTGGCAGCAGGGGCTGGGTGCCAGGAGGGGAGCAGGGTGACAGCACTCAGGGTGGGAACACACAGAAACCGCCCCACATCCCCTCCCCACGGCTGCTCTGAACGTGGGAGGCCACGGTTATTCTCCGGCCATTCCCAGCGGAAGGACTGCTGGGATTTACCAACGGTTTGCAAACACACACTTGGCAGATTCCAGCTCAGACCCCAGCATTATTCCAGGCAGCTGAAACAAAAGGTTGCAGCTGCATTTTCCTTTAGGAGAAAGCCACCAGCACCGAATTACCTTTCTAAAAAAACCCCTCAGAGATCATTCCACCTTTCCCTTTGAGAGCAGGAAAGAGCAGTGGCAGGTAACGTTAAATCCTGCCTCCCTGTATGATCACAAAGCAGCAAAGTGGGGTTGCTAGAGAAAGGTCTTGCAGCACCTTTCGGGAGGGCTGCCATGGGGCTCATCAGCGCTGCAACGTCCCTAACGTGGAGCAAGCCTGGAAAAATGACAACGTCTTAAAAACCCCAACTGATCCTGCTCTGGATGGACAGGCTTGCCAGCAAAACACCAGGTCCCTGACTGCCCAAGGTCCCTGGCTGCCAGCAGGCAGGGCCTGCCTGGTATTATGGTGGCAGTTTAGATGGAAGTAGCCACAGAACAGGAGAGAGGATGATACAGCCACTTACAGCAGAGCACCAGCTGTTTCTCCTAGTTCAGCCTTAAAGCTTGTTAGTCCACAAATGTATTTATTTTTTTAGCTTCAATTGGGTTTTCTTGTTTTTTTTATTTAATCCTAGTTTCCCCTCCACAGCTTGTTAAGCCATGTTGATGGCAGGGAATAGCTTTGGTGATCCCTCTGAGCCCCTACACTAAGCATTAAGCCATAAACTAGAATGTAAGACTCTTGTCTGAATTAAAGTCTTTTGCCTGGTATTATTAAGTGTGGGGCTGCGTTTGGAGGGGCTGCAGGGAGTGCAGAGACCCCAGGCCCTTGCTGGAAGCATTTGCAGCACCAAAGCTGCACCCATCTGCCCTGGATCCCCCTGCACACTTCCCTCCCCCCAGCCCAGGGTTGCTTCCATGCAAATCCTACAGGTTCCAGTGGTGCAGAACTGCAAACCCCATGTGCAACTTGGGTTGTTTCCCAGTTGCACGGCCCACCCCGTTCTCCCACCCTCTGGGTGAGAGCTGAGTGTCCCCCCCCCCCAGCAGCACAGGCAGCTTTTCTCCCCAAAAAGCCTGCTCAAGGAGAAGCGTGGGGGGAAGGACCCAGCACCCACTGAGCCTATGGGGCTACCTGTGGCAAAGGGCTGGTTCCTTATCTCCTGCAGGGTATGAGCAACCCTCACCCCAAGCCAGCAGGGTACAGACCCCAGCCTAAAAGCAGGGTCCCCGTTCAGAGCCTTGTGCCCCCACACCCCCACCCAGACAGCCAGGAAGGTATCAATGCAGCACCTACCTCCATCCGAGTAGGTCTCTGTCCCGTAGCCATCCTGTAATCCATTGCTCCAGGTGCCTTCGTACTTGGCCCCATTTCCAGTGCATTCCCGGACCCCGTACCGTCCCTTAAATCCATGGGTCCACTCTCCTTTGTACACCCACTTCCCCTTGCTCTCCAAGCCAATGCCATGGCGCTTGCCCTGCGCCCAGGTGCCCTGGTAAGTGTTGCCACTGGGCCAAGTGTAGACCCCCAGCACCTCAAAGCCGTGACTCCAGGAGCCCGAGTATTCACCTTGACCCTTCGGGCCGGTACAGATTCCGTGGCCATGAGCCTTTCCGTCCTCCCAGCCTCCACAGTACGACCCTCCATCGTCAAAATTAAACCTTCCCCCACTGGACATGCATGTAATTCGGTTTGCAAATCCCCCAAAAGGTGAAAAAAAAACAACAACCCAACAACAACCCCTGCAGCAACCCCAAAACCACGCTGAACCCCCCCCCCAAAAAAAAAACAAAACACCAAAAACCAAACTTAAAAATGCAGAAAATAAAATCACAAAGATGACTGGGGGGGGAGAAAAAAATATATTAAATAGTAATTTAAAAAAAATAATCAAATCAAAATAAACTTAATCGAAATAATGCACCAGATCCAGGGAGCTGCTTAAGCCAGTTTCTTGTGATTATTCATTCTCTGGGAGTATGTTCGGGATCAGTTCTCTCTTCCCCTGCTGTGGAAACAGTATCATTAAAAAAAATAAATAAATAAAAAATAGCAGCAAGAACAGCAGCAGCTATTGGGTTTTGGTGCAAACGACTCCACCTAAAAACCATCCACGGCAGGGAACGGGGGTGGGGTGGGGGCTGGT